AGATCAATCACTTTGTCAGCACATAAACTGATCACAAAGATCAATCACTTTGTCAGCACATAAACAATGATTACAAAGATCAATCACTTTGTCAGCACATAAACAATGATCTCATTCTAAACGCTTATAAATAATGATCAAATTATCAACTGAAAAAAAGACCAAATAATTAACTTTTGTAGACAATGATCACATGGACAACAATTATAAACAATGGTCACATGGACAACAATTATAAACTGTGATCACATGGACAACAATTATAAACAGTGCTCACATGGCTAACACGTATAACCAATGATCACATGGCTAACACTTATAAACTTGAATCATATGGTCAATTTATGAACTGTGATCACATGATCGAAGCTTTATCGACCGCCTTTATCTCACAAAACGTTAGCATTACTTAAAGCGCGTCAAAGCGACGCGTTAAAAACGCAACAGCGCGGCTTTTTTCACTCGATCACACACACACACACGCCTAATAGAAACATAATTAGAATTAATTCTGAAACTAATGTTGACACTCACACTTTGATTTCGATTGCACGATGCACGCAACGTCCTCTTCTTTATACTTAAAAATAAAGTCGTTCTCTCATTCAGCCGCGAGGCACGAGACTCTGGGCGATTGACAAAAGAAGTGGACGGGTCCAATACAAAACAAGGGGTCGCAATAGGAGGAAGGGGTTTATATTTTCTAAGTAGTAGAGATTCAGTTCACCGCTAGGCGGACTGTAATAATAAACTTCTTTACCGTTCAAATATGACAAAACAATCAAAGATGGACGGACATACGCAGGATTCGTGTAAATTGTGAACAAAAAATTATTTCTATAAATCTTCTTTACGCTCTTAATGTATCCGGTGGACCAGCAGTAAGTTCACGGACTTACGACGCTAAAACCCGAGATTTGATTCCACGTCGCGGACACAGCAGATAGCCCATTGTGGCTTAGCTCTAAAAGAAATAAACTTTTCGTCAAGCGATCTACTTAAGTATAGTTATCTTCAAGTTTTTGGTTTGGCTTGGGTTTATTTCTTAAGCACAAGGCTACACAATTAGCTATCTTGTTCTCTGCCCACCACAGGTATCGAAACCCAATTTTTAGCGAAAGGGTTTGTTTGTTTGTTTTGAATTTCGCGCAAAACTACACGAGGGCTATCTGCGCTAGCCGTCCCTAATTTAGCAGTGTAAGACTAGAGGGAATGCAGCTAGTCATCACCACCCACCGCCAACTCTTTTACCAACGAAAAGTGGGATTGACCGTCACATTATAACGCCCCCGCGGCTGAAAGGGCGAGCATGTTCGGTGTGATGGGGAATTCGAACCCGCGACCCGCAGATTGCGAGTCGAGTATCCTAACCACCTGGCCATGCCGGGCCCTCGCGAAAGGGTTAAGTTTATAAGAACTATGGATGATCGTTCCTATCTATCAATTGACAAATGGTCGTAGCTACGAAATTATTGTGTGGTGGTGGGGTGGGAATAAATTCTAAACATCTTAGATACACGTACTAAAGATCATGTTGACTTTAACTAACCCTAAACTTGGATAAACCTCTAGTTCTTAATTAAAACTACAGGTACTGATTATTTGAAATCCAAATTTGTAACGTGTTAAGTTTCATTTAAAATATTATTTTCAACAGATTAATTAAAAATCTGACAGAAACTGAAGCTTCCCAACTCCATATCCACGTGTCATAGTTCACTGAACAGATAATGAACGGTTAATAGGCTTTCAGACTATGGAGTATACTCTTCATCATCATTCTAAATCAAGTTGTACAACATACTCAGGCTTCAGACTATGAAGTATACTGTTCATCGTCATTCTAAATCAAGTTGTACAACATACCCAGGCTTCATTCTAAATCAAGCTGTACAACATACTCAGTCTTCAGACTATGGAGTATACTGTTCATCGTCATTCTAAATCAAGTTGTACAACATACCCAGGCTTCAGGTTATTCAGTTTGTTCTTCATCATCGTTCTAAATCAAGTTGTATAACATACTCAGGCTTCAGGTTATTCAGTATGCTCTTCATCCTTCATTTTAAGAACGGTATATTAACTTAGTTATATCAATAAATAGGTTAGTTCTGATTTGTGTATAGAGATGGTTCACGGTCCGCGACCCATTACAACAAAATATCGCTCTGCACAAGGCGCCTTGTAAGAGTTATGGTCAAATCCCACTATTCAATTACAGTAGCCCGAGTATTGGCGGTGGGTGTCGTTAACTAACTGCCTTTCCTCTAGTATATCAGTTTAAAATTAGGGACGGCTAGTGCAGATTAGCTTATATTGAGCTTTACTTGGACTTCCGAAACAGACAGACGAACTTTTGGCCGAGCACGTGCAAACATAAAATATTCAACGGAGAACAAGAACATTGACTAATTTTTTTTAAGGATTCAAAAAAATATATTCTTTTCATGCACAACGTGTTAAACCACCTGCTCTCTTACCATGCACAACATGTTAATGTTTAACTATTCAGCTGTGCCAAAAGAACGTTAACAACATTTGATAAACCATGGAAGCAACGTGTAAAAAAAAAAAAAAAAATGTACGTCATCATTTTAAATGCGAGACGTCCAAAAGGTATTCATGATTTTTGTACATAAAGTGAATGATGCTTTTTAAGTTTAACTTACCCTAACGAATCCAAGGAAACACTCCCCTAGTTGCTTAGCTGTAGGACTAAAGGTTTGTAACGCTAAAAAAACGTCGTGGCCATAGCACAGAGAGTCCGTTGTGTGGCTTTTTGCTTAACTACAAACAAATAAACATAGCGACTAGAAGAAAGATTACGTTGCGCATGAATTCTGTTCGTTTACTTGTTCATTTGTTATTATGAGCAGTTTGTTTCAGAATTTTCGCGTAAAGCTGAACAAATGGATATCTGCGCATTCCGTTTGTTTAAGAACGAAGCTACCGCGGGAATCGAACCCCGGATTAAAGCGTTGTAAAGTCCACCGGGAGACCTCCCTGCGCATAACTGTTCCCCATCTAGAATTGATAAACTAGCGTTATCGGACTGGGAATCGGAAAGTTCGTGTTTGGGACTTTGGGACTGTGGGTACGGTGTAAGAGTGACGGTTAAATCCGGCTATTTGGTTAGACAAAACGTAGCCCAAGAGTTGTGTGTACTACAGAATGTTTGCCTCTTCTATAATATATTGGTTCAAAATTAGCTCACGGCTAGGCGCGGATAGCTCGTGTAGCTTTACTCAAAAGTGGCAAAGTCTGCGGACTTACAACGCTAGAAAACGGGTTTCGATACCCGTGGTGAGCAGAGCACAGATAGCCCATCGTGTAACATTGTGCTTAATTACAAACAAATAAACACTGTATTATAAATTAACATTATTTTTCAAACATTTCAAAAGCGTCAATCGTGCGTGTTTGTTGTGGATTCTCCGACTTTTCCAACGACACTGCTCGTGTTTACATTCAATAAAACCAACAGTTTTTTTTTGTACTTATCTCTACAATAAACCACGAGAAATTAATTTCCTCTCTGCGTCTAGAAGATAAACATTTTGAACACTAAAGCTTACAGAACTGGTGCAATTTAATTTGCGCGTGACTTCAGTAAATTAGTCACGGCATGATGCAATACTAGAGGGTTAAAAAAAATTAATTAACAGTAGCTTCCTCGTGGCAACGAATAAGGCGTTAGTTGGTTAGCCGGTTATCATACGAAGGTTTGTTATTTTATCTCCATACTGTCAATATATGCACTGACTATCAGTGTATGAAATAGAGAACCAGACATAAAAAAAGACAAACACACATGTATATATATATATATATATATATAGAGTTTAAACATTAAATCTAAAACATTCCATCCATATGTAAAAATAGATACACGAACAAATACATTCAGTGAGAAACTTCATTTTAATGCTGTATAATTTCAACATTCTTCGTTTGAGTAAGTGTTGACCATGTCATTAGTATTTCTTTAATGTTGCCCATGTTATAATACTTTATAAATGTTGACAGTTGAAAAGAAAATTTTGTAATCGGGATAACGTAACAGAAAATTCACTTCTGCAGAAAGTGAAAGTTTAGAAATATTTAGAATGAACTAAAATTGATCGAAATATTTTAAAGATTCTGTGTGTCTGTCTGTCTGTGTGCGTACGTGTTTTGTTTTTCATAAATTATCCAGTGCTGGCTGATGTAAAGTGTGTATTTCTTGTTCTGTTCCGGCAGGCCGTTCGACTTGTAATTTTAAATAAATTTCATAAAATTTTTGTTGGCAAGAGTGTTTCGGCTTTAATTTAACCCTTCCTGAAGGTTTTAGACACTTTAAGTTCGTTATGAGTGAAAATTCCGAGAAAGGGTTGAATCCGAAACGTTCTCACTACAAGCCTCCGCGAAGTTACAGGTCGTTTTTTTCTTTTATGTAGAAAAACAAATTGTAAGGTCATCCGTCTGTGCATTGAGTTGTTTAAAATAAACCTTCCAGCAAAATGGATATCGTTAGATTAAGAAGGGTTACTTAGGATTTGAGTTCAGGAGCCGACACTAGCGTGCAGTGCTGCCCGAGTATTTTAGAAACGTTTATCCCAAACCGACCTCGCTATTCGTTGTCGGCCCGGCATGGCCAGGTGGTTAGGGCACTCGACTCGTAATCTGGGTCGCGGGTTCGAATCCCCGTCACACCAAACATGCTCGACCTTTCAGCCGTGGGGGCGTTATAATGTGACGGTCAATCCCACTATTAGGTTGGTAAAAGAGTAGCCCAAGAGTTGGCGGTGGGTGGTG